CCTTCCTTCCTTCCTTCCTTCCTTCCTTCCTTCCTTCCTTCATAAACTCTACCTCCAACGTGGGGCTCGAACTCACAAACCCCAAGATCAAGAGTCACATTCCTATTTCTGATGGACTAATGGTGGCTGCAGGCCACACCCTCTCTCATGCCCTCCCTGAAAATTCAGAAGCCAAATCAAACCTCCTACAGAAAATGAAACCAGACAGCATTCAGCACAGGCTTTCTCCCTGGGTGAAACGCAGATGTCTTGGATTCAGGTGTGGCGGGACCACCTGCTCTGGCAGAAAGCGGATCGCCCTCCAACCGAGGCCTCTTCGCTTGCCCAGGATGAGAACTGACCCGTGAACCTGGAAGCCAGGCTGCTGAACGCCCCCACCGCACCCCTTGCCCCAGGGGACAGGGTAGCTTCCTAGGCCACACACGTGGGTTTCCCTGATGAGGCAGTTTTCGGTATGACAAAACCCTGCTCTTGCCATTGCCAGAGAGGGAGGAGGATGGTGTAAGTTCTGGAGGGAAACCAACAGGCGCATTCCCGCGGGGCAGACCCCACCCCTGACTGGAGCGGTGCCCCCCTCACCCCGGTGATCACTGGAGAAATGTCAGGGGAGGCACCCCCTCTCCCCATATCATCCCCACCCACCCGTGACCCTGCCTGAAATTGCACCATGCACGTTCATTCTTTTAGGATGAGAAACTGCATCTTTTAAAATACTCCCACCCACCAGACAGGTAATACATTCAGCTGTTATCAGTCATCTACACCTTAATGTGAATTAGTTGATTAGTCCTGGAATGTTTCACCTGGAATGCGCCTGGTCCAATCCCTCTTCTTACAAGTGAGGGAAACCAAAGCCCAGAGTGGAGGTGACCCACTGAAGGTCAAGCAACAAGGTGGTGGCCAAGTCATGGCAGGGAAGGGGCGTAAGGGAAGGATTGTATGCAGCTGGCAGGGGAAGAGGAAAAACCCCAGGATCACCGAGAGGGGCAGAGGCATCGTCAAGGTTGTGCTTTACACACTAATTCAGAGCTGTGTCAACCTTTTCCCCCCACGAGAAGGTAGGAGGCGGAACCAAAGCGCGTCTCCACCCCACCCCACCCTTGAACATAAAACTTCTTTGAAGTTTCTGGTTTTATCTCAGAGTTCATTCAGATGCAACATTCTACTCTAAAGTATATTCTGGTTTGTTTTCACATAAAAATAATAGAGAGAATAAACCGGTGGTTGCCAGAGGAGAGGTTAGAGGGGAAGGGGATTAAAAGGTACAAACTTCCAGTTATAAAATAAATTAGAAAGATTTTTAAACGCAAAATATTCTTTCTTATTTTTTAACGTTTTATTTATTTTTGAGGGAAGGAAAAAGAATGAGCGGGGGAGGGGCAGAGACAGAGGGGGACAGAGGATCCGAAGCAGACTCTGCATTGTCAGCACAGAGCCTGATGTGGGACTGGAACCCACCAACTGTGAAAGCATGACAGTCGGATGCTTTAACCGACTGAACCACCCGGGCGCCCCGAAATATTCTTTAAATGGTGAGATTCAGGGACGCCTAGGTGGCTCAGTCAGTTGGGCGTCCGACTTTGGCTCAGGTCATAGTCTCATGGTTTGTGGGTTCGAGCCCTGCATTGGGCTCTGTCCTGACAGCTTAGAGCCTGGAGCCTGCTTCTGATTCTGTCTCTGCCTCTTTCTCGCTCTCTCTCAAAAATAAACATTAAAGACAAACAAACAAACAAATAAATAGTGAGATTTAAAGGGCCCTCGGTGGCTCAGTCAGTTAAGCAACCAACTTCGCTCAAATCATACTGTCATGATTCCTGAGTTTAGGCCCTTCCTTGGGCTCTGAGGGCAGAGTCCCCTTCAGATCCTTAGTCTCCCTCTCCCTACCCCTCCCCTATTCACTCTCTCCCTCTCTCAAAAATAAATAAACATTTTAAAATTAAGTAAATGAATGGTGAGATTCATTTAGTCAGATAGCATTTTCTACTTGCCAGGTAGGCTGAGATCAAAGTTTGTATTTCTGAGGAGGAAACTCGGCTGGCTGGGATGGGGTGAGGAGACTTCTCACTGCATGCCTCTTGGTACCTTTTTTTTTTT